CCTCTTCACCCCCACTGCCCTTCTTAGAGTGGTGGGCGCCTCCCCCCAAAGCACCCCCACCCATGCTGTGGGGCGGGGGGAATTTTGGGAATTGGAACCCCACACATCTTAAAGTTGCTGAGGTTGAGAAACACTGGCTTAAAGTCTTCAATCAATCACTCCTAACTAGACATTTGAAAATCAGTGGGATTTTTTTGAAAGTCGTGGAAAAATCATTTCTACAAACTGTACCTCTTCCAGTGCCCCATTTAGCTGATATGCAGGTTCATAACTGCACTAAGTCATGGATTACTTGAAGTATGCTGAGTTGAAGAAGACAGAATGGTAGTTTCACGCATCATGTTATGCAAAGAAACCAGCACCCCCCAAAAGTGCATGATGGCTTTGGGCAACGCTTATTCCCACCCGAGGAGATGATGTCCTAGTCAGATATTAAAGGAAGTACCTGTCTCTCGGATAGTCCCAGGTATGCTGCAAGTTCAGACTTTCTTCTTAACGTTATGTATCTGTTGCAGTGAAATTCTTTTTCGAGTTCTAGTCTCTGCTGATCAGTGTAAACCACCCGGTACTTTTCTTTCGTTCTCGTTTTTCCTGGGAGACAAAACACGCATGAGACATGGCTCAAGCTGTTTCCAAGAGCCCTTTCCTAGTGCCATCTCCTTACACCTGGTTTTCGGGTGAAGACTTCAGCCTCCTTGATTCTTTTCTCTTGCCAAGCCTAAGCTAGCCTGGGTCCAAAGAGGGTTTCTTGCATTTGTTCTTACTGGGACATTTGCACCGAGGGCCGAATGAACTTGGTGCAAATGTACAGACAGAATGATGCATGGGGGAAATCTTGCTCTCAGATTAAGATGAAAGAGAACACTGTTTTCTAAGATTACATGCACAGTCAAAATAATAGTTTAAAAGAACCTCTGATCAGTTGCTAAGCAAGTTAGTTGCAAACCTTTAATTGCTGGGTTAGGGAATTTCCAACCTCTTAAGTGAGACAAGGTCCTTCTGCTGTGGCTGATAGGTTCATGTTCTCCTTCAGCACCACCTTCTCCAGTCTACTGGCTCCCATGTTTTTCCACTCATGATAAATATCTTAAATAAAATTATCTTTAGAATTAGATGTTAGGATTAGGCTAAAGTTTAAATATTATAGGAGGAGAGCTGTATTAATCAGTGGTAGCCAAAAATCAGAAGGAGCTTGATAACGTTTTTCTAACCAATGAGGCATAAGTTTTCAACTTCAATAAAATTTGGTTGTTGGAAAGCGTGCTACCAGACACCTTCTGATTTTTGGCTAAATTTTAAATGCCTGGCTCATGCATCATGCTAAGCCATGTTTCAATTAGCTCTGGTTGACTGAATAAACCACAGTTGGCTGGGCTCACACTATATCCTTAGGTCTTAAACCCTAGTTCATGACAACTGGGTTCACACAATACACTAAAGCAAAGCCATACCAACTACATTATGGCTTAATGTGATGGACACCACAGCAACCACATTTCACTTCAGTTGGCCATAGATATTTTGTCTGGATTTCCTGATCCCTGTGAACATTTTCCTGGGTTGGATGAGTACCCATCTCCATTCCACCTTCTTTCGGCCTCTCTAAGCAGGATGACAACAGTCATCTCTCTGGGCATCGCTTTTGTGGGAGACCATGGAAAACTCTTCCTTAGGAGAGGTGCATTGCCTGTGATCAATGATTAACCCTTCTTTGGACATCAGGAGGGCGCTCCTTGTCTAACGTCATTGCTTTATCACTTCCCAGCCTTCCTTTGGGGTTTCAAATAACTCTTCTGATCTTCCCAGGCTGTTTTTGATGTGAGGGCTTTGGAACAAACTGCAAGACAAAGAGCCTTTTAAAGTGGCTCCCTAAACTCCAGGGAGGTGTTAAGAATGAAGCACCCGTCTCACAGAGGGGCAGCAAGCCGATCTTATCAAAGCTTTCTTTCACAGTCAGATACACAAGCCAATTGGTTTGGAATTTACAAGCCCTAAACAAATGTCAGCCCCGCTTTCATCTCCTGAGGAACAAGGGGGCAGCAGGATTTGGAACGCCCCTCCTGTTTCCTTTTCTGGATGAGGAGGCTCTGCTCCAGCCGAAGGAAAGGATCTTTTCCACAAGGCCACCCTTCAGCGTTAACCCCTCAGCTGAGTTTATGCTTCTCTTATTGCGATTTATTCATTCTACCTGCAGACCGTCTGCATGGTTCGGGAGCTGGTAGTGCCTTTTCCCACTCACACATTTTATTAAAAGGCAAAAGCTCTTGTGAGCAACTGCTCGCTTCATCAGATGCGTCATAGACTCACCCAGCTCTCCCCCTACAATTTAGTGGATGTTTACTTTCCAACGCTCAGTGGGAGCTCAGAGATTTACACATTGTAGGAAGCCATGAGTTGTTTTAGCTATGTTTCATTGTCCTAGGCAGTAAACCATGGTTTCTAGCCCCTAAAGTTTGGGTTCGTTAAGCTACTTTATGGCTTAATAGGCAGTACAACCTCAGTAATCCTACATGGTTTACTTGGGAAGAGAACATGTAGATGACAGTGGACACATCTGGAGAAACCTCCCTGAGATCACATTGTCAGGAATGCTGGAGTTCTGCAGATCTTTCCTTAACCATTAGCCTTAGTTTCATGTATCACAACACGCCAAGCTGTGTTGTGGCTTGTTTTGCTCTGATGTCATATGTGATGGGAATCCAGCCATTGTGATTGGGCCGAGCCTAATTGGGGAACTCAGACACCTGTTCTGAAAGCATCTTAGTGAAAAGAGCTCACAAGAGGGAACAGTAATTCCTTGGCCCATCCATGGGTGGGGTAGTGTAATGCATCATGAAGTGACTGCACAAATGTCTCGAAATAAATCACTGGTATCTCATCCTTGGAGACATTCGCATGACATCATGATGGGGCATCGTGTGTCCCCTTCTCCCCTCCACTAAGGAGGTCTCTGTTAGCACCCCAAATTTGGTTTGGTATTTCAGATGATGAAGTGGATGGATATTTTTCATTCAAGGCAGAAGAAATCGTCTAAATATAAATCCAAGAGTGAATTCAGTAGTCTGAGGTTCCATGTCCCCCTTTACGGGGTCACTCACTTCACCACTTTGGAAAACAAAACAACCATATAGGGTGCAAAGGGAAGAAATAAAGAGGATTGCAAATGAATCTTTGCTCCCCTCCTGCCTCAAAATCTTAAAACTGCCTCATCAAGAAAATGAAGAAAGTTCATAAAGTGCGTGAGATCAACCAGTGGCAATAGTATTGCCATAATAAATTTGCAGGGAAGGGTGCTTTGTAAATTTGATTGCCATTTTATACACAAGGAGTTGTTGTTGTTGTTGTTGTTGTTGTTGTTGTTGTTATTATTATTATTATTATTATTA